TTATGCTTTACACTAATAAAAACACTGGATATTATTTATTTGTCTGGCTGACTGACAAAGCCAGGCATCAAAGCATCGTTCCAGTGTCACATACTTCAACGCTCTAATCTTTCAGAACTTGTAAAGCAATCTCTTACGGCGCTTTGTGGGCTGTGAGATCACCCTGACAAACTGTGATAATGTTGGCAATCTCCAAATGGGTGTTCATTTGCAATCTTACTACAGAGGAATTGCTATGTTTCCAAATTTGAGGGCTTGACATAATCTGTCTTCACAAAGCTATCAGGGTCTGTCATAAGGCTGTCTGTGACCCAGGGATTTTATGGGGTCAATATCTATCCCCAGTGAAACCTCATTGCAAGCAGTGGAATTACCCAGAGTATGACTTTCTCTATCTATTTGCTTTCTTTCCCTTTATTTAAAATACCCCTTCTTTGTATTATATTTCTTGAACTGCAAACGGCACCTACTAATAACATCAGAGCCAGGCAGGGGAGACTGCTCCTCCAAATCATGGCCAGTTTCTTACAGTTCATGCCAAACCCTCTGCTCCCCTCATCACACTGAGTGACTGAGAAACAATGCAAATGTCAGGTCAAGCTACAGAGCTATTGCCATCATCTCTTCCCTTCTGTATGCTCCCAGCACTGGCAGTCTCTGGGCTGCAGTCCACAGGATATCCACAATTATGGCCCAGATTGAGGGAGGGGTAGAAAAATGATGGTACTCTGCCAATTATGTCAGAACCTAAACTTGATCCATTTTAAAACTGAAGCTGGGGACTGTGGGATAGCACTGTGTTTGCTATAATTTGTGAAAGGAAAAGAAAATAATTTAGCATCTCAAGAAAAAAAAAAAAAAGGAAAGTCAAAGTTAGAGCAGACCTAGTAAGTGTTTTATATTTGCCTCTGAACCTTATCTTTAAGTAAAGACAATGCTATCTGGACACAGAAAGAAGATTTTTAAAATGCCGTAAGACTGTTGAACACCTCCAGAAAAAAACGAGACAGGGAGTGTCAGGCTTCACCATATTCATGAGTGCCACACAACTGCTAGTGAAGTAATTCTGTTTTGAAATCACTTAGGATTCCTTTAGAAAAGCTGGGAACACAGGATGGAAATAGAAAACTAAAAAAAGTGCATCCAGTGTTTCAAAATACGCTCCCTGCGCAACACCCTTTCCCTGCTATCATCTCCTGAGGCAAATTTCCCAGGCAGTTCCTCACACTTACTGAAAGATGCTCCCCAAATCCTGTTGAGGGTGGGGGTGAGCAGCTGGAACCTGGCCATGGTGGGGTCAGAAAGCCCATGCCAGGCAGAGGCAGTAGAGCACAAGCTGAGATTTACACACTGGCTTAGATACTCTGCTGAATTTATGTTGGGATTTTATTTGCTATGTTTTACTACAGTTTTAGGAACTAAGACCTCTTCTTGGATTATTCCATCTAATCAAAACAAAAGTTGCTAAAGATGCACCACACTTTGTTTTACCCTCATTTAAATTATTTTCTGCATTTCATTCTCTGTGAAAAGGAAAGTCAGTGTCACTATCCAACCTCAGGAATAAGGACCTAGCTGCAATGCTACTGGAAAATTTTGGAATCCAAATAAATTCCAAACTTGTATTTTGGCCTGAATTTACAGCAAACTTGCTCCTGCTCTCAAAACGCCTACTGTTTTTACCAGGAGCAGCAATTATCCCTTGTGTCTCCTTAATCTTTCAGAAAAGAATGCACAGCCCTGGAAGCCAAAGGTAAATGTTTTAATGTGTATACTATGCGGCTGAATGCATGTTGCATGGATATTTTAAAAAGGCTGTACAGTACAAGGGCTTCAAAAGGTTAAGCAGCTTCTCCAATACAAACACTGCAGTTGGGACAGTCCTGAACAGAGCAATGCAACTGGTATGTGCTTATCCTTCCTAAAAATTCTTTCTCGAGGGTGAATGTTTTTATTTTACAGTAAGCGGAAAACTGTTGACTTGTATGCTAGTTATTATTTGCCTAGTTATTACTATTTTCTAAAAACCCCTATTTTTAAAGACAAAAAAGTCAAAACAAAGAGCCCTACCTCTCTGCTAGTGCCACTTCGGAAGGTTTTTCCTAGCCACAGCTGAATTACAGCAATGTTTTTCCTTTTTAACATCCATGTTTTTTCTATTTTCCACACTGACAACAAAATTTTCCAAAAAATAAAGAAAACAGACTGTCACTGGTAGATCAGTATTTATAGATGGAAAGAATATAGAAACATTTTAAATTTACCCTAAACAAGGGGGCCTATACCATGACAGCAACTTCTATTGTAATTCATTTGTCTTATAAATTACATCCCTGGGGATATCCCTAAAAATTAATTAGGTTAGAGAGGGAAGGAAAACAAATTGAAAACTTCTTAAAACTTCAGGAAGCAATAAGTTTTTTGACACAGCAGTGTCAAAAATCTCACTACAAAATTCTTCCCTCCTCTTCCCCTATTCTTCTTTCTAGTAGACCAAGAACCTTAGATTGAGAATCATTTTGGCACACCAAGTTCAAGGAAACCATATACATTCAAATACAGAACATTTCTGAAATTGAAGATTTTGCAAGCAGCTCTGCCTTTCCAAACTGCACATTCCCTGAAAGAATTCTGAAATATAATTTACTAAAGACATTCATTGTGCTAGTGTGGCTTTAAACACAAAGCTACAGCCACAAGATGTGGACATGGTACATTCATCACACAACAGAGAAAAGCAAAAGGGAGGAAGGCAGAACAAAACAGTAAGAATTTCAGACGAATTTTAATATTGGCCAAACTCGTCCTCAAATCAAAACTCTGAAGGTTTGCCTGTTCATTAGTTTCTCTAGAGTTTAGGCAAAAAGGAATTTGGCCATGTACTTTTTCTGTAGTGCCCAGTCTTCATTTTGTGCAAGAAAGGGTTTTTTCACTCTTCTCAACACAGTTGACGGGATTGGAAGTGTTGGCACACATCTACAAAATCCACGACATTTTTTGATTCCATTTGTAACATAAATCAAGTTTTGTACTTCCTGATGCCTGTGCCACCTTCCAGGACTAAAGGAAGAATAGAAAGGCAACAAAATGCAGGAAAGTAACTGAGTTGATGGTGCTTTATCACTGAAACTTTAACAGACTGCACTAATGTATAACTCCACAGTACAGACTTCACCTGGATCATATGAGGGCACGAGATGCCATTTCTGCCAGCTCTTATATGTGTTAATGCCAGCAGCAAGGAACAAAGGGTATCAGATAAGGCACAGAGCTTGCTGCTAGAAGTCAACACATCGAAATGTATTTTTAAAACTGCATCAGAGAATTTATAATGGATCTGTGCTTTGCATTTTGAGGTGACAGAGTTCTCGATCTGGTAGAAAGTTCCCAAAGCTCAATTTACTACATTGTCAAAATATAGCCTGAGGGGACAATCTGACTTACAGCATCTTTATGACTGGTGATGAAAGAACCTCTCTTGACTTTTAGATCCCAAGTTTGGCTCAAGACACTGCAGTAGTGAACAGAACATCTTCTATTTTATGCTGGGTGTTCACAGCGTTCCTCTTCAGTACAGAATTAGGTTTTACTCTATAGAATTCTCACACAGCTCGCTGATGGGTTAGAATTCACACCTTCAGATTTTGGGGATATACTTCACACCCTGCATTGTTACTGCTGCTAAAGATACAGATTACGCTGTCCTCATGTCATTGTAGCATCTGTAATGGGAATCTTTAGAAAATTCAGGGAAAATGCATCTTTTACAAGGCCACAGCATGTCTTATTCACCCTTGGAGAGACTTCAGAGCACAGTAACTGCATTAATTGGACATTGTATGGGCAGCCAAGTAAAGCTCAGTTACTGTGCAGATTTTACTGCTCTTTGTCATGTTGCTTCAAAACACATTTCATGTTTTAACCAGTCATATATACATATGAAAGCATTTCGCAACACTGGACAATGCTACAGATCCACAGGAAATAATTGTTTCACAAACATGAGGCAATCTGCACAAATATAAATAGCGAGGCCCAAATCTGTTCTAAATTATGGTTGTGCAAACCCATGAAAGTTAACTAGTACCACTAACAGAATAGGACACATAAGAGCATGGAAAAGTATAAAATATGGCTCTACTGTTCAGCTATTCATGGTCCAAACCCTGCCAGCCGCCAGCCTGCCAGCACTTACATTCTACTAGTTTACCAGCATGGCTTTACAGGAAATAAGAAAAATGATGGGATTTCTAGTTCTCTCATGCACTGGAGGACACAAGTCCAAGAACATATGGGCTTAAATGTGTCAGCATCCTACATCACTCTTATTTGAAGAATGTTATTAATTTTTGTGGGTGGAGTCCAAAATTGTAATGCCATATTAACACACAGTGGCTGTTTCTGTAATGTGTATGTCACAGGGAGCATATGTGTAGCAGTCCAAGGATAGCATTTTAACTTGATTTCAAGTCATTTTCTGAATTGTAATACCCTCAAAAGATGAAGTACTGATGCTGCCGGCAGGGTACTTCACAACTTTTGTCTTCACAGTTTCATCCAGTCACCTCAATTCTGACCTCTAGGATATCATGCTATTGCAGATCTGGACTCCACACAAAGCTGTTTCAACAAATCTCATTTTTCTCTCTAATACACAGCATGTGACTTCGGGATTGGTATTTTCAATGCTGAACTGAGCTACACGAGCGATGTATGCTACTCCAGGCAAAAAAGCAAGACTAATAGCAGAAGATTCTTTGCCATGCTAACTCTAACTGAATTTCAATCCCAATCTTCTCCAATGAATTAGCCTCTTTACCAAACTCGCAGGTACAGACAGATACTGTGGGAATCAGCCATGTAACATGTTCCAACTGGATACAGCGAGGAAAGCATTGCCAAAGGCCTTTCGGCTGCAACTCAACAGGTGGTTTGGCACCAAGATTTCTACCTGTTTGTGGTTTTCATCTCTGGTTTCAAGACAGAAAATGAGACTATACCTTTCAATGCTGCATCTCAAGCAGGCTGCACGCAGAGCAAGGTTTCATTCCAACACAATCTCTCTCTCTCTCGCAAAGTTGAGGAAAACTGCCAACCGCTGCTGCTCTTGACATCAACATGTGATGCAGATGTCAGGAAAGGGAAAAGAAAAGGGAGAGAAGAAAAAAGGAAAATAAAACTGTAAGTTTTACGTAAACAAGAAACTGTACTTCATGACTACAGCTGAGGAAAACAAAATAAAAAGTACTGGCTTTAGTATAAGGAAACAAATAAAACCTTGGAACAGCTTAATCTAAGAGGTTGTGGAGTTTTTTGTTTTTTTGGTTGTTTGTTTGAGGTTTTTTTTAGTTTACTAGAATTTTTGTTTAAATTTAATTTCAGGAGATAAAATACGTCCAATGATAAACTTAAAGGGACAATACAAAAGAAACAAATCTATCCTAGCATCAAAACTAACTACTCCATTACTCAGAGAAGAGTCTAAGCACCTTTAACAAACACCCTGAAAAGCAGCAGAAGCACTGATAACATATGTTCTTGTCTACAAATAGCCCAGAGTGCAAGAGGTGGGCTTAATTTTCTGTTTTTAAAGCCTTCTGCATAGGCCTAACTCTGCCTTTGTTGAAGGTAGTGTTAACACACACTGAATGCAGAAGGAACCAAATGAGGGTAACTGCATACTTTGAAAAATCACACCCAATATGTTCAACTGATGCCATAGTTTCCTGAGGACAAGAGTAGACTATGGAATACTACAAATAATAGAGAGCAGTAGTCTAAAGCAAGCTTCCCAGAACCAAGAAAGCATATTTCAATGCTTTTTCACAGATAATTGGGAATGTGCATCTTCAAAATAGTAGTAAAGAGCAGGTAAAGACTGTCAGGAGATGCTTACTGTGACAGAAGTCTCAGTGCATTTTCATAAAATAAGAGTTCTTCAAAGCAACTCTCAACAACCATTAAGAGAACAGTCAGTGAATCTATGCTTTTTAGATTAAAGCAAGAAAAGAAAGAAACGAAAAGGCTTCTCCACAGACAAAGATGTAATGAGAATTACTTCAATACAACAGCATTTGAGCCATCAAAATGGGCCCACATTCACCAATGTACAGAAAAGTAGAATGACCAGCAAAAACTTTGCTTTGCCCCAGTAAAACCATTTCAGGAAGTTGTATGTCCTAATTTGCCTATGGAAGATGAGAACCTCATAATAAAACTGTATTAAATCATCTATACTAAGACCGAGCTGAAGAGAAAATAGAACTGTCTTGTCATGGTGATATAATCACTTGAGGGAAAGGGACCCCAAAATGTTCTATTCTTGAGTTGGAAGAATCAGTGAAGTGGGTCTTTTTTCCTCATAAGAAGGGTTTTCCACAAAAATACACCTCTCGGATAACCAAAACAGAATTTTTTCATCAACTATCCTGGAAAAATGAGGAGGGGAAAAAGAGTAATGAGCCTTTCAGAACCAGCAGTTGGCAAATATTTATTTGACTTTTCTTGGGTAAAACAGTTATTCCCCCAGAAAATTTTCATTTCAGGAAAAAGAATTTCACTGAAAGATCAGTCTGATGGAAAAACGCCTGGCTATGGCCACAAAGGATAAGACCACTGGCCTCAGCCAGGGGGAGGTGAACGCCAAGGCCAGCGGACTGGGTCTGCCACAGCCCTCTTGCAGAATCATGGGCACAACACCTCCATTTGCTGGGATGTTTGTTCTGCTCCAGTTTTTTGCCGACGTAGAGCCTCCAGGGCAGGAACCGTCTCTCAGCGCATGTTGTGCGCAGCCTACTGCAACACGTGTGCTTGATGACTTTTAGCACTACAGCAGCAACAGTGCCTTTTCCTCCTACAGCAGCTACTACCCAATATCAAGATGAGGAGGAAAACGTGATCTATGGCTGCAACACACTGCTAATCAAACACTATTGTATAGCGTGGGGATGTGGGGGGATGCCTTTTCACCACAGAACGAATCAGGGTTCATACACACAAAATCAGTAAACTATATAGTTCGGTCTTGTGATCTGTGTTCCAAGCTGCCAGAAATAAGGCAGGAAAGAGGGGTGGGGAAGGGGAGGGGTAGGGGGGGAAGCATCTCCTGTGTTCATAATGAAAGAAGAGAGATGACTGGACTAAGAGCTGATGAGGTTACAAGGCAACAGCAGTGCCATGAGTTGTTTGGGCTTAAAGCCAGATGTCTTGTATTTCCTTTGATTGTTTCTAAATAATTAATGGTATTAATTTCATCATGTGACCCACCCACCCCCCTTTTAGTATTTGGCTCTGTGTACTAACACTAAATATAAAGGAGGAAAACGGTACTGTCTATAGCATACTGCATGCTAATGCTGTGTGTTTGGACTGCAGCAACAGCTGATACTCGTTTCATTCCATATTCCCCAGCACTCACACAGTGTTTGCATGAAGGAGATGGAGTAGTATCCTTCATTCTCCATCCATAAACCAACTCAACTATGGCATATGGACACTGCACGTTTGAAGCTGTAATAGAGAGGGTACATCGCTCCCTCTCCGCCCACACTAAGATGAACCTGCCACTACTATTTCACGTAACGTTTTCTGGCAAGCTCCCAGTTTTCAGTCATGCTGGTTTGCTTGAAAGAAACACTCAGAGGAGACTCTGCTTGTCTTGCTGTTCGAACAAACAAAATAATCACGCATCTTGAGTTAATGGCCCAAAGCTTAATGAAGATCATAGAAAAGAAGCTGTCTGTGATGGGAGCATTCCCTTCTGACTTAGCCACATAAGCCACTGCTGTTGGCAAAAGGAAATGGATTATGAGGAAAATAAGTAGCCCTGAGCTCTGGTCTAGACAAACCTTTGCTTGGTGCTGTAGCACTAAGTGCACAAAGAGAACAGCAACAACCAGAAATAAAAATTTCACTTCTCCACAATTTTCTACCCCAGGCCACTGACAGCTTCATCAGAAGGACCTGTGTTTCTTTTTCATGGGAATGTTTGGGTTGAGTGCTAGGACCACTGGAATCTAACAGCGGAATTCCTTAACAAAGAAAGACTAGTAGAGGCAGATCCCTACATGCATGATTCCATGATATGTACTCAGGAAAAATGTCTGCCCACCCTCCTGTATATTGCAGCCGACTTTCAGCTCCCCGTGTCAAGTCTCCAGCCCCACCCATCTCATCTACCTTTTTTTTTCCTACCACATTCTCACTTATCTTGAATGTCGTGGTATCTACCATACAATCAGAATCACAGTATCGTCTGAGTTGGAAAGGACCTTTAAAGGTCATCTAGTCCAACCCTCCTTCAATGACCAGGGACCTCTCTCTTCAACCAGATCAGCTCGCTCAGAGCTCTGTCCAATCTGACCTTGAATACTTCCAGGGATGGGGCACCCACTGCCTCTCTCGACAACCTGTTTCTCTGTGTTATTCACCATCAGACAGTATTAAATGGGGCAGCTGAGAGGCAATGTAGAAAGGAATCTGACAGCTTGGAGCAGACCCTTGTTTTGTCCAGTAATGCCCCAGACTTCTGAAGGTAAGGACTAAGTAATATGGGGTCCACACAGACATCAAAAGAAGTTTCCAGAAGTCTGCATAAAGCTAACTACATCAAAGCATACCTGTGGGGAGTCAGAGAGGGCGTGGTAAAGTCTCATTTCTTAGATTTTACCCATGGCTCCCTAGCTGGGTGTCATTCAGCAGCTAAACTATCAGATCAAGACTGGCGCATTGTACAGTGACAATTCAGTCAAAGACAAGGGAAATCCGAAGAATTCTCCACTAGAAAGCGTGATCCTAATCTTCAAGGACTTGACCCTGAGATTAGCTCAGCTGGTTAGAGTATAGTGCTAATATTACCTAGATTGTGGGTTTAATCCCTGTGTGGTCCATTCACTTAAGAGTTGGACTCGATGATCCTTGTGGGTCCCTCCCAACTCAGAAAATTCTGTAACTTCTGTAAATTTTGACTTGGCAGTCAAGGCCTAGCAATTCTAAGGCATATTCCTTCCCCACCCACCCACTACAGGTTCATAGGAAGAAGTCTGTCTCATTACATGAAGATCATATGAGAAGTACACCGGAGCCCCTCAGCTGGGACTGGAGCAGCACCAAAACCAGCATTGGCCCTGCACAATGCAGAGAAATCACCTGGAGGGAGCATCACCACTGCCAAATCACAGCATGAGGCACTGCAGACAGGATGGCGGAGTGCCCTGGGTGCCAGAGCTCAGGCTGTACTGCAAGAAAAAAGCAGGATGAATACCACACTGCCTGTGCTGGGAAGAAAACATCTCACCCTCTCCTATTAGAGCTTCTCTAACATGGTTATAAGGCTGAATAAATTTATGGGTTTACTGCTCATGGACATGTGCAAATGGAGAAAACACTAATCCAGATCAGTTAAAAGAAGATGAGGAAGAGTAATGAACACCAAACTTCAAGTGACTCCTTCAGCTCCTACCAGCTACCTGCAGTAGAGTGGGAAAATTTACACAAGCCAAAAGCACATCAGGAATACCTGATGCCAGAGTCCTCCTCCTTGGAAGCCATTCACAGAAAATGGGCTCTGCTGCTTTGAACTGGAACAGAGAAACTGCTTCTAGACAGGAATGATCACAGAAATGACTACACTGCTTGCAAGGTAGAAACACTGCAAATAGACAAAAATACAGCTGAACAGTCACAGCACTTTATGAGCAGCTCCTGTACCTAACTGCTTGGTTTTCAGGATTTTGGGAGGCCATGGTAGAGTGAGAAAACAGCATTTTTCCTATGGCATCAAGGATCTCTGAAAGTGTCTACATGTCAGCCTTGGCTGAGAACGTATCCTTTGTTCCTTCTTCTGCATTATTTCCCTTTAATGATAGCTTTGCAGTGAATCCCATTTGTGAGTTGCTGAAATAAATGCAAATTTTATCTTGTAAGCAGTACCCTCCAAAATATAACTGCCACTGAAAGTAAAAATCTGAAGAGCTAAAAGGCACTGGGTCTTCCCTAGTGCCCCCATCTCCCCAGTGCACTTGACTGCTTGATATTATTATATATGGAGTACCAGGCAGGGTACTTGCTATTATAAATACATACTATATTGAAATATATAGC